GTTGTTTATACCTAAACGACGACCGACTGTGCAAGCACCGCATCATACGTAATAATAATATTCGAAAACCAACTAAGAAAATAAAACAGACGGGGTAGGGGGGGCATACCGTGAAGAAGGGTTGTAAACTCTTTGATAGAACATTTTGGAATCTATATACATGATAAATAATTATATATGTATGTATACAATGTACATGACATAATATCATGTGCGAGTGATTAAAATTAATTTGTCTGGTATATTCGCATTCATATCGAGTTGTTTTGCAGACAGCAGGGAGAATTGCTAGAATGGCTCTGCACCATTCGCAAAACAAAAATATATAATATTATAAATGAGGTGCAGCCAGTCCAGCCGTATATCTTGAGTAGGCGACGTTCATATTTTCGTATTTTTTTTTTCTAAACACCACACTTTTCTCTCACTCTCGTCGGAATCGTGGTCTATATTAAAGAACATGTTGAAAATACGCCACCACTGCAGCAGCTAGTGTGCAGCCGCCTCGGAATAACTGCCAATTTCGTCGCGTACCGACTCGTTTACGTCTCGTATATAATAATATTATAATAATATGTGCGTTTAAAGTTTTCTCGCGTATCGCTGGCAAAACTTTACGTGTTTAGAGAAAAAAAAATGAAGAAAAAACAGCACTTCATTACGATTATGCATTGTACGTGTTGTTCGCGTCTATTTATACAGTCAGTCGTCTCTTTGCCGACGATTTAAAAGGCGTATTTATAAATATATATTTTTTTTGTTTCGAGTTTACAAACAAACGCATCGCTTTTACAAGGCGTTTCAGACCAGCACCGACATTTTTCCGCCGATGCCATTTTATACATTGTATAGTAGTACAAATAATATAATAGTACTGTTACAGTACAGCTGATATAGTTTAGTAAATATACTTGTGGGCAATCCATTTATATATATATAGACTATAAACATAGATTTTCCTTCCGGACTGCGCATTGGTGTACCTATGTACACACAATTATGATCTGTGGCATAGCTTGTATATATTCTATTTTCTACATAATGTCCTAATGGGCAAAATATATATAGTTAAATGATAACAAAATTGTATAGTTATACATTTGGACGAGAGCATTTAAAAGTCTGACGAGAAGAGTTTCCAAATGGTTGCATTATATTAATTCACATTGTTATACCATTAACAATTTAAGAATGCGTCCAGAATGTAAACACTATATGGTTAAGGGCGAGGTGAACTTTCCCGGTGTAGTTTTGATATCCATCAACCCATTAGATATGGATATTAAGTTTGTTCATTTTTCAAAACGGTGATCTTCCTATATACTATATAACCCGTTCATCCGAAACATTAGTAGCTTGGCAAACCGACCACTGTACACACGTATTGACAAGAGCATATTATAATATATTATTAATTTATCATTTCATAATAGGGTCTTATTCTTATCGCAGTCGATCATAGCCACGATACAAGCCTACGAGTACAGATTTGTCTTAAATATAGTGTTTCCGTACCAATCACGTCATCGCCGTTATACATGATACTAAATGAAGGGGGTGCAAATGACGGGGGTGCGGAGACGACAGCGAAGACAGCGAAAAGAAAGAAAGACACGACGCCGCAGTACAAGGCCCGATGGCCGTGGGTATAATAATATGTCTATATAATATATTATGTTATTGTATGTATATTATATAATGTATATGTATAGGAAAAGCAGCAGGCCCCGTCTCTTATATTTTTCCGCGCTTTAACCTACCCACCCCCGCTGCCACACCATAATCCTCGCTATCAACATTATTGTTTATTTGTGTGTCCTCCTGATACCTACCCGAGTCGGGCGCGCGCAGAATTTAATATTATTCATTAGTCTTCTTTCTGCTCTCGTGAACTCTCTCTCTCCTCGTCCCTCTCTCGCTCAACCCCCAGTCACTCGTTTCTCCTACACTCTCCTCTGCGCCGTCTTTTTATCCGAAATACAACGTTGCCAAAGGATTTACGTTTGTTTATCCCGCACGCCCTCGACATTGTTGCGCGCCGACAGAGTGGTTGCCACTCTCCCACTCTCATCTGTGTGTATATATATATAAATGCATGTATACACTCAGACGCAATCACCAAAGGCGAAAAGGGGTGAGGCTAAAGGCGAGGCAGTAACTGCAAAAAAAAAAAAAAATTGGTTTCCTTTTAAAAGCTCTTCCGGCAACGGCGGCAATAATATAATTTCGCGAAAGGCGTCTCTCCTATATTATATATACCCAAGGCATTTAATCCGAAACACTCATACGCTCACGTATTATATATATATATGGATATACATAAAAAATATATACAATATATACGAGTAAAGAAAAACATTAATATAAAATCAGACGGCCGTGTTTTTCTCTTACAACATGCGCCTTAAAACACGTAAACGTTGTAGCATACATATTAATATATTACATTGACTACCCGCACGCGCATATCGCACTATAATATGCACATTTCGTTATTATTATTTCATTCTTTCCGAGTCAGCACAGCGACCAAAACCCTCATGCTAGAAGACTTGTAGCACACTCGCTGTATTGAATTGATCTTGACCGAATATATTATCCTATTTGCCTTGGAGGAGTTTAGGGAATTCGATTTTTGTCAAGACTTAGAAATCGATAAACGATATGAGATGTGTATTGTATTTTGTTAAGAAATGTAATTATAGCGACAAGACGGAAGTCGACGGAATCGTATGATGTATATTACCTTTATTGTGTGTGTTACACGCCGAGTGTGCGTATAATAATGATATACACAATAGTGAAGCTATTTGTTTATTTTGCCCCGTTCGCTGCAGATGTAAACGTAAATATATTATATAATATATGTATATACATTGCTCGGAGAATAGGATATTAATGTGTAAGTGCGTAGGTTCAGCACGTATAATGTAACGAGTGTATATACATATATTGTGTACCTATATAATACATAAAATACGTTAACGTGATATTCGGGTCGTATTATGAGTTTCAAACAAAGTATACAATACTGATATTTTTATACACACTTTGCTCTTTTTCTGCGCCGAACCTACTTCAGAATATATTTAAAGGTAGCTGCAGGTACCGGTGCAATTTTTATATTAAAGTTTTCGCATATCATATATATGTATATATGTATACCTCGCGATGCGCATATTACATGTAAAATTATATTATAATAATATTACACGTAGGTATGTTTGTTTGTTTGTTTGTTTATTTATTTTTATTTTTTCTGACCCTTTATACACCGACCCTGGGGCTAGATTAAAATATAAAACTTGCATTAGACACATGTTGTGACGTTTTTAAGGGTTCTCCGCTATATATTACACACGCACACACAATATCATTTATAAACATCATACTCGTTATTACGCAATTTCAACATTTTTCTTAGTAAATCCTTTCGCGTTCGGTGTAAAAATATCCCCTCCTACCGGTATTGCTAAAAAATAAGTAGGTAGACCTGGTAGAGTATAAAATAGATTTGATATACGAATTCGTATATATCTGAGAACCCTATTATAAATAAATCAATACCGCACGATTGGTACGAAAATACTTATCCATTTGATAAAATATCCACATAGACAAACACGAAATTTCATAATTTTAAGTGGACAATTGCAATTTTATTTACAATATACCTACAATATGTACCTACTACCTAACTATGCATATATCCAATTTTACAAATATATTCATGCTTGTAGTAAGTAAGTCATCGTTTCAGTAATTTAATACAAGATATCGTTATAACCATCGTCCTTAAAAAAATATATACTCCGATAAAATGGCAGACTTAAACCAGGGACTAACTAGCTCGTGGGTGTCTATTCACGATGGACCACGTGGCATACACAATATATTAATATATTGGTCGTTAGTAACGCAAAAAAAATGTAACAGTCGGGACACCACGGGGCAACCTCGCACGAGCGAGTACGACAAGGCAACGAGGAGGACATTCTTTCCACGAATTGCTGGAAATTCCATGAGTTTCAAGTGTATAATATTATACACGCGCGTGTAATAAAGCCACCTATGTATAAAAAGATAAAATTGATTTTGCCACGTGCAGTATCTCTCTAGTCGTCGAGGCACGGGCGAGAGTCGACCGAGTGCTACGGCAATCAGAGGCATCAGATGATGAATTCCGAGAGGTCTTGTTGGAAAAATAATATTATTTTAAAATGAATATTTAAAATATGGATAAAGACCCCTAACCCGAGAGAATTCCACCTCGGAATTTGCGCACGGTGAGGAATTAGGAAAACAATAAAAACTCCTGCGTTTACCATAACTTTTCGCGGAAACTCCTCAAAAATAACAATATTTAATAGTATACATAATAATATTATTTAAATGTTAAACCGCCGACGATTACAGCAAGCAGTATAAACATTGTCGGCGAATTTCTCGAGAATTGTCTGCGAGTTTGGCTGCTGCAGTTATACGTTTACGCCGAGAATGAGGTCATTTTTCTTCGAGCACCGCTCTCTATAATCGTATACACCGCACGGCTCGACTTGCATAATAATATTATAATGTCACACAATATATTATTATTATTATTCGGTCCGTCGTAAACCACGCGAGCGCGCGCCTTATGGCTGAGACGACTGAAAACGCGATACCGCAACAAATCATTTTTATCGCATTTTTCGCGTTGCTCGGCGTCGCGTACACGGCGGCTGGTAATTAATATTAAAGACGTACGACGACCGTGCGAGACCTACCACGTACGGGTGGGGGAGCGGTGAGTGTGAGCTGCACACGTGTGTTGTAGGTACATATTATCGTAAGCGCGACCATCGGCATTTGGGCGGAAACGTTGTTCGTTCTTTCGCAGACGGCGGTTTTTGGCAAAACAAGCTCTATACGGATGAAGGAGAAGGCGGGCGGGCGATTTGCCGCTGCGGTGCGCTACACGTCGTTTCCGGTGCGTCGGAAATAAATCTGGGTGGCGAGAAATGTATAGATCGAACAAATTGTCCGCTAGACCCGGGGGTGCCGGCCGGAGGAGATTCTCTCGGCCGCTCCAACGATTTATGCGCCTCGGAACGGTTGCCAAAAAATTGTTCGCGACCGAGTTAGCAGCAGCAGCAGCAGCAGTAGCGGTCGTTTCGAAAATCCGTTTGAATCTGTCCGTGCGCGTGTCTGTCTGCGCGTGCGCAACAATCGTACAACTGCAGCGTCCATCCGAAACAATGATAACACGATCTAGAGTACACGATGTAGACAAAATTCGACAGTTCGATGATATTCGTCCGAATAATCGACCCACTCTCCCGCACACCCGCAGACACCCACATAATTGGGCCGTGACGACGCACTGCAGCAGACCCGAAGCGTGACTGCGTATAGTATAATAATATTTTATACAGTGCGTGTCAAACGCGCAGGGACGTCTTTCTTTAGATTGATATATTTAATATTTTCCTCCCATACGAATCGATCGGACCATCGTCATGTTATTATTACAACCGTATTATTATAATACACGCCGCGAATTTATCGATTTTCGGTCGGACACGAGCCGGGCCGCACAAATCCTGCAGCTCGCAATAATTAGAGATCGCTGCACCAATATCATTAGGTCCTTCGGTATATTATTATTATTATGACGCGTACCTGTATAATATGCCGCGCGTTAAGTTTTCCCTGTGGTGTACATCGCGTCTCGGTCGTTATCGATTTCCCCGGCCGGTCGGTCATCGCGTGATGGCGAGCGCGTATTCTCTCCTCGAAGGTTCGGCCGGCCAGAACGGTATAGGTATATAATGCTAATAATATTATTATAATAACCGACGACGACGATGATAATAATAATAACACGTTGTGTTCGGGTGATGGTGCTCGTGCGGTATAATGCGTGTACGCGTATGTGTCCTATACTTGCGCCCTGTGATTAAAACTCTTTGCCGAAAACGTGATGTATATGCCTATAACCATACCCATGTACAGGTACTATACGGATACGCCGTTCTCGAGGTCGCGATTATACGGTTACTTCTTTAAGTGTGCGAGCCGCGGACCTCGGCCATGAGAGAAGAGCGCGAGGTGATTTGAGAATGAAGATGCGAAATACAGAGCTGGTAATAAAAACGCTTTTTGCCAGCCCTTCAGTTCTTGCAATAGCCACTATTCGTTTCTGCCCGATTTACACGTTATACCATATGTATATATTATTATTATATCTACAATTGTTGTAGAGGCGTCCTCGTAAACTCGCTGTGTTGTTATATTGTATTTATATTTATTAATATATATATATATATAAATATATATGTAAATATATATACATTTATATTTATTTGTACATCTGTATGTGCTCTGAAAACGTTTTTCACTTGCCGCTGCATTTATGGACGGCGATCCCGTCGCGTGGAGATATTTACACGGTGGCGATGAGTATAATAATAGCTCCTCGGTCGACGCGTATTAGTCGAACATAAATACAATATGATCTACATGTATATAAGCAGTAGGTACGCTTCGAAGTGTGAACTCGGCGACAGACTATACTACGGTGTGTATAATTCACCGTCTGTCGCCTTTCTTCGTGGCATAAGGCGTAAATAATATGCTCGCGAGGCACACTCGCTGATGTGACTATGGGGCCGAGCAGAGAAAGAGTGAAAAAAAAAGACGGAAAATGCATTGCGACTTCTAAATAGCAGCCAAAACAATAGCCGAGGACACACGCTCGTCGACTATATAATATATGTACAGGTCTTACGCTTATTTTATACACGTCAATATACCCACATTTGTTTAAAACCAATGCGATGCCCAAGATAAAATATAATATTATGATCGACGAAATCAAACGGCATAAAACTCGACGAATTGTATACTGGCTTACCCAAGTTTTGAGTTGTCCTCCGCCCGACAATTGAATCACATCATATATTATATTGTTTAACATTCTATGTTATCCAAATTACTACTTTCAAGGACCGACAATATAATAGTACAGTATACAATATATAATATATATATATAACGATTATTTTTTAATATTATCGAATCCGGATGCACTGGCGATCGATAAAGTGTTAGATTTATATTAATATAATGATAAATAATAAATATATTATGTATAAGCTGTGTTACTATTATATATTATTACTATAGGACGTCGATACGCGACAGAAGCTGTCACTATGACGCGCCGCCCGTAAAACTTTGCCAATTTTCCCGATCGTCGTTTTTCCTTTTATCGTCGTCGGCTTTATTATGTCGAGCAAAAATATATTGCGTGACAGGCCGCTCCCGAACACGCCACGGGGTTGGAAATTATGATTTATTGCTATGATATCCTATATAAATACATATACGTACCTATATATATAAATATAATACTACAAAATACACCACATGCTGCCGAATAAATAGAAAACGTGCGTAGGGCAACGTAGGTCGTTTTCCCAAAGGTTCGTGTACAGGGTATTTTCTTTCGTTCTTTTGTCTATATTTAGAGACAGGAGCAATGTGAAAAATGCAAAGTCGTGTGCGGATAATAAACGCGGCGCGATCCGATCTATATAATTTCAGAACAGGATTCGAGCATAAATTTCCCTTTTAATCGGGCGCGATCGCATAGCTAATAAATCCGCAATAGCGCTTTTATATATATATATATATATATATATATATACATAATAATAATATATACATAACGCGTGCCGTCAATAACCCCCCTGTCGTGTAATAATGCCATCAGACCGGTGAGTATATACATATATGCGTGCTGTATACATATTATATGTGTATAAGGTATATGCACTCAAATGATATAGGTAATGGCTATTGTACAATAATATAGGTATATTCATTGATCGTCTGAAGCTCGAGTGTCGAGTTGAACGCAATCAAAGACTCGCACGTTTGTTGTACATTTTATTGGGCATGGCAATTCTACACAGCGCCTACGAGAGACGTTCAATCATAATATAATATATAGGTATTATAGTTATACATCTGAAATCAGCGAACGGAATCCTATTCAGATGACACGTCCTATAAGTCTGCGAACGATATAGTGATGACGTTACTGTCGGCGGTAAGCTGCTCAAAACATATATGATATCCGGTCAGAAACAAAAGAAAACGGTGAGCAGAGGGTGCCGCGCGGACAGAGCATGGCACAGCGAGGAGAAACAATACGAAAAAAACTAGGTAGGTCCCGTAAAACATACGGACTAGACATAATATTGTTTTTACGTAGGTACTATTGTAGTTAATATTATATTATACAATATACATGTGTTATTTAGTTATTATAATATTCCGACCCATCCGACGAGACGGTATACACGCTATGTTATGACTGTAGGTATATTATATATCGGGTGTTTATATAAGGCCGGTCGAGTGGTTGTTGTTTTTAACACCGTCAACGGGTATATATAATATTATAAATATACCTATATGGTCGCAGCACGCCTACAAATATTACACATAGGTACACAGCTATAGTAATAATTATATTATCGGCTGTTGCGTTAACGTAATTAAGAGAAATTCCAACGGTAATATAATTGAACTGCTGCACAAGTCGTGTGCGGACGGGAAATCGTGCACACAGCACACACGCACACTTTTCGAGAAGCTTATAAGTAAGGTACACGGTACAACAACAATAATAATAATAATAAACCCATCTTTGGAGAAAACGACGGGGGCGAGCCTGCTACTGCTGCGGGGGCTGCGACTGCCCTGCTAAAATGCAGCGAAACGCGTCGGAGTTACCGCCACTGCTGTTCGGGTCGGGGATGAAGCCACCCGTATTTATGTATATAGATAGATAGGTAACAGCGACCCTTATCCACCGCCTCACCGACATTCACTCTCTTAATTCGGATGCCGGCAACAACAAGTTTGGACAAAGATGTTTCGGATGAATAACTACATGCTCGGAATGTGGAAATATCGGGAGATTACACGGGGTTTTGGATTCCGTTGACGGGTTTAATCAGCATTTTATACCCACCACAGCCGCAGCAGAGTCGGAGCGGTCGTGTTCCACGACGATTGGGGGGGAGGAGTAGATGGAGGTGGATGGCGTAGGTATAGAAGACTAAGAGGCGGTGGTGGCGGAGAAGGCTTGGATGGTGGGAAGGGAAAACCCGCAGAAGAAAGGGTTAGGGTTGAACGAAGTGGAGTTTTTAATTAAATGCAAAATCGATTCTCGGCCGACGGACAACTACGCGATGGAGATGTGTTTTTCATTTTTTCAATCATAAAAAAATGTATATATTACACGGTGTCGTCGGTGGATGTGTAGGTACCCCCATATATATTATAGGTTCATATATAATAATAATAACGATAAGCAGGGACACGCGTCATAATAAACATATTGTGTATTAACGTTTTATGTTTTTTAAAAATCAATTTTAATAAATTCGTGTTTTTTTTTTCTCCACCTCATATAACAACATAAAATATCAGTCATTTATCGGAAACACGTCGTTCGGGTCGGTCGACTGACCGGCGCCGCTGAAAACCACACCTCCGTCGTCGTCGTCGTCGCTGTCACTGCTACAAATGTAATATAGGTACGATTGTATGTATGTGTCTAGTGTGTGTGTGTATGTATGAGTGAGCAAGAGACGGACAGCAAAAACGGTTATTATTTTTATTTTTAAACGCTCCCAATCGTATCATTATAGAATATCGTAACAATTCGTATTTAAAAAAAAAATTAAATTAAAAAAAAAAAAAGTGGCACTCTCGTAGGTATTGATTTATCTGTGGCGGCTAATGTGTTTCCTGTTAAGGTGACTGTAGGGCAAATCGAAAATTCCGGTTTCACTCACACACACACCACACACACTATACGCACACAAGCACGCGTGCGACTCGAATAATATGTAATTGCCGTTTTTCAATGACGTTTTACATTAGTATAAACGTCGTTTATTTTTTTATTTCTATTCGGTTTAATTTATGCAAACGTCCCCCCCGCCCGCCACCGTAAACGGTCCACACCGACACCCGTTACAAACACTATATAATATAATAGTATGTGTATAGCGAATACTTCAAAGGAAACAAATTAATTTTTTTTCTTCTAGTTAAACAATCGACCGAAAACATTCACGCGTAAACACGTGGATTGATGATAATACATATATATATATATATCTTATATAATATTATTATATACCAACCTGTATGTATATTACACCTTTCCGTGATAATCGTCGGCGATATATCAAAGGTGATTGTACTCGTACATAGGTATATGTATAGTGTACACTTGTATTATATATCTACGTAAATGTGTATTCGAGACGGCCGAATTTTAACAACATTATCCGCCCACGCCCCGCTCGTTGCGGCGTAA